AACCAAAGAAATCTTCTTTCTTTTTTACAAATGTGAACTCACATAGCCCACTTCATCATGCTTATACCAATTTTAGTACAGTTTTATTTTTATAATTTTTTTACATATCATTATACAGGGGTTAGCCATTTAACAAAAATATCACCCATGGCCACACCCCTCTACTGTACACTGCTACCTATGTCAGCTATGGTCAAATTGGTCCAAGATCTCATTGATACAAAGCTACATACAAAGTTTCATCAAAATCAGTTCATATTTACTGAAATTATTGTGTTCACAAGGAAAAATTAATGGACGATGCAGCAAGGTCACTCGGACCGACAAAAAGTATGAATTGGCCCCTGGATGACAGTCCTAATTTGAATCGGATGTCAGGTGACCGTTAAGGCCCATGGGTCTCTTGTTTAATAATAGGGTTCAAATGTGAGGAAAACAATCATGTTGTTTCCTGTACCTGTGGTAGGGTGCATGTGAGGATAAAGGTTTGTGCAAGATAGATATTTCCAAATTGAATTACTGAGTAATCTGTCTTTGCAGGAAGATACTTTTTTCAGCCATCGTCATCATATGTTTTATTTATCTTTTTTTTTAGATATCTTTTATATCCAAGAGCGCTAATATAAGTAAGGTTCATTTTCTAATCCATTCTCCTCATTGATTCAACCTTTACTGTAAAATTGTTTACATATCATTACAGTAAAGCTAAACTGATGCTGAGGAAGAAAAGATTCCAAGAGTCTCTTATAGAAAAAACAGACGGACAGCTGGAGAATATAGAACAAATGGTAAGAACATTTCCCGTTCCAAGTCCTCTGTGGCATACCTGGTACTACTCTGTGATTTCTAAAACAGAATTTTGAGTCTTGGATGGAACAACTTTGCCTTGGCCTACTTTGATAAACAGAACTGCGATGTTAGCTGCCATTAATTGGACTCTGGATTTATTCAAGTTCTTGACTCAAGAAAACGATTTCTGTACAAATTCTTGTTACTCTAGATTGGTCATTAATTATTTATGTGAAATTTCCCTGGACAGGATCGATCATTGTTTAACAACTCGTACACATTTTACACCTTTGTGTGCATACACTTCATTGGTCAGTTGTCTGATGAAGGCGACAGTGTATATATCGTACTAGTCATCGAAACGTCACATAGAATAATTTTATTGGTTGTGTAAAATGGACTTCTCATAATTGGTTAACAAGTTAGTGAAATGCAGTTGTTAGAATGTCTGTCCGAAGTTCAGAGATCACACTTGCCCAGTGTACTCCCATATTACCAACAGCAACTGCAAGTACTGTTTTCACATGGCAAGGGGACAACATTGTTTGGAATATTAAGTTAGTAAACAGTGTAATCCTTGAAGCAGAGACCTCGAAAATTGTCGGAGGAATCAAAAATGAACTAGACTGTATAAACTGTAAGTAACTAGATAGCTCAATTGAAAATAGAAATGATGAGCAACAACACCACTGAATTCGGTACAAAACGTAATGTTTGATTTTCATCCTAAGTGCCGACATGTTTCGCCCAAAGGGAGGCCGTCTTCAGAGCACAGTTACATGATGTTTGCAACTACATGTATGGTACAATGACAATAAAGGTCATGTGACTAGAACAATAAAGAATAACTGTGACATCATCAAGTTGCTAAGAGTTACAGTCTGGTAGGGTGAAAAGGTTTAGCCATTTTTGATTGGTACATAATAAAATGAGTGCTAAATAATTGCAGCATGATTATAGATTATATAAAAGTTTCATAGTAAATTTACGTGAATGTATGAGTTGTAGTATTACAGTATTTACGAAATGATTAAAGGAACAGAAATAAGGGATAGTAAACATGAAATTAAACAAATCGAAAGTGTTCAAATAAGCAAAACTGTAAGGTCGTTGTTCTGTCTCCTAAGGAATGGAAATTGTAATGGAAAGAATATTAAGCATGATTAAATTGTCAGAACTGTTGTAAATAGAGTATATGTATAAGTCAATAAGCATGTGAGCAGTTCTAGAGTGTTAGATTAGGATAAGTTCCGAAGAAGAAAAGGTCCTCGCATCAGTGAGTTCTGTAGGGTAATCCTGTGGCATCAGCGATAAGGATATTAAGTTGTATAGAGGGTTGGTACAGTACAGTCTGTGCACGTTGTATAGAGGGTTGGTACAGTACAGTCTGTGTATGTGGTATAGAGGGTTGGTAAAGTACAGTCTGTGCACGTGGTATAGAGGGTTGGTAAAGTACAGTCTGTGGTAGTTGTGTTCTGAGGCTGGCAACAGTATGTTGTGTGATGTCCATACTAGCTCAATTGTTAGATTATTTGTTCTGAGAATGCCCCACACTTAAAGCCTAGTATTTTTTCCTTCTTGATTTCTAATGGGATTTTGTGCTGTTATTAATTGTTGTGATTTGTTATTTCCAGGTGCATGACCTTGAATTTTCTCAAATTGAAGCCAAGGTCTTCGAGGGATTGAAGAAAGGAAATGAATCGCTCAAGAAATTACATGAGGTAAAATTGAATTTTTCAAATATATAACAATCACACAGAATGTGTAATGTGTTGTATTAATGAACATTTTCATACAACTGCATATTAAATGAGATATCTTTCTTTGAAATGGATTGGAAATATTCTGATCTATCTACCTATTTGGGAACAACATTTGTTTAAGTCTTGCCTTGGAACTCCGAAAAAAAGACCAATCAATAATTTTCATTCAAAATATTCTGTACGTTGTCAACTGATGTTTTTCATAATACAAAATGAGGGTTGCCACAAATAATAGTTAACCAGACACACATGCACTGGTGGCCAGCACAGTCATATGGTGTTTTGAATTTGAAAATTATGTAGAATACATTTTACTTTTACTATTTTATTTTAATTTACAGATCATGTCGATTGAAGATGTGGAAAAACTGATGGATGAAACACAAGAGTCTATAGAATATCAAAAGGTAAATTGAGTTTTTCATTCTTTCAAAAGACACATTTTCCATAAGAATAGCAACTGGCAAGAATTGAAAATGTTACCACAGAAGCAGATTACTATATTCAGGGAAACTTTTGTCCTGTCCAATATTTCCCCTTCGCTGGAAAATCTGTATCTGCCCAGGTTAATGCTGCCCCTTTACATGTAATTTTTTTATATGGTATTTTTTGTACTTGTATTCGCAGACGCGTAACAACCTATGTAGCAAAAAAGCCCGGGCTTACACATCATTTTTTACCAAAAAATACCCCCGCAACATAGACTATATGATATAAAATATTAAAAAGCAAAATATTTGTAAAATATTAGGGAAAAACTATATTTTCTTGATTTAAAAGGGCCATTGAAACTGAGGCCAGAACATAGGAGAATTCGTCTCAGGCATTCTAGAAAACAAACTTCTCCTGGGGGAGACCCTCCAGACTCCAACAATGGGAAGGGGGGAGATCCCCTCCCTTACCCTCCCCCTCCTCATGCTGCACGCTTCGGAGTGCTGCCTTTGGCAGCACATTTGATCATTGGGCTTACACATTGAAAACCCTTTTGTTACGCCCCTGACTCGCTGTCATGAAATAATTGCCCTCCTTACGGTAGCAGAAAAGGTGAAAGTTAAATCGTTAGCAATGTTTTGGTTAAGTTGGTTTAATTTTGTTTAGTGTCCTATTAACAGCTAAGGTCACTTAAGGATGTGCCTCCATGTGTGGTGTGTATGCAGGAGACAGGATATGTTGTTGTGGTTGCGTCCTTGTGAAAGCACAGATCTGATGCCTACTTTATAGTGCTATCTTACTGAAATGTCATGCCGAAGGCACCAAGCACAGTATTCCGCCCGATCACATTATACTGACAACGGGCAAAAACAGATTTAAAATACTTAGTAATACTTTGGACTCATGGTAGATTTTACTTAGAAACTACTTTTAATTCATCTTACTTCTTATTGATCTGGTTTTCACGTAAATTGGACATCAGCGAAAAATAAGATGAAAGCAAACAATTCATAAAATTGATCGAGGATGTACTAGAACAATACTTTATATTTACTTAAATATTCTTCCTTTTGTTCCCCTTTTAGGAGATAGACGACCTTTTAGCGGGCGGTTTGACAGAGGACGACGAAGAAGACGTACTGGCTGAGCTAGATGAACTAACAAAGGTATCTGCACTTGAAATTTACTCCATTCTTCCTTTACCCTTTCACCACTGTAGACTATAATGGACTCATCCATATCAATGCATGGTTGAGTCTACTCAAGTTACACAGGGGTGAAAGCGTTAAAATTTCATATGGAATTTAGAGACATTCATACTTTGTTGATGCTCTACTTCAGGCTGTAGTTTTATCAGAGTGTGAGAGAGAGAGAGAGAGAGAGAGAGAGAGAGAGAGAGAGAGAGAGAGAGAGAGAGAGAGAGAGAGAGAGAGAGAGAGAGAGAGAGAGAGAGAGAGAGAGAGAGAGAGAGAGAGAGAGAGAGAGAGAGAGAGAGAGAGAGAGAGAGAGAGAGAGAGAGAGAGAGAGAGAGAGAGAGAGAGAGAGAGAGAGAGAGAGAGAGAGGGAGAAGACTGTGTATTATATACACATTATGATATTTCTAAACATTTTCTTCAGGTCAGGAAGTACGGATCTTATACAGGTTCATGTAGCACAACTAGTGATAAGTTTATTTGTGACGCTTCACCAGTCATTTGTCAGAGTACATATTGCACTAGAAAATGTCACACATACATTTCACTGGTTGTGCTACATGAACTTGCATACTGTCCATACGGGCGGGCGGGCAAACGATGTCCGCTCGATATCTCGAGTAATTATTAACGGATTAACTTCAAACTTCACAACAAGGTTAATTACCATGAAACCTCGGACAAGTTCGATAACCGCCATTATCCGACCATAATTTGTGGAGTTATGCCCCTTTATGGACTTGCCGAAACAGTGTCCGCTCGATATCTCGAGTAATTATTAACGGATTAACTTCAAACTTCACAACAAGGTTAGTTACCATGTAACCTCGGACAAGTTAGAAAACTGCCATTATCCGACCATAATTTGTGGAGTTATGCCCCTTTATGGACTTGCCGAAACAGTGTCCGCTCGATATCTCGAGTAATTATTAACGGATTAACTTCAAACTTCACAACAAGGATAATTACCATGAAAGCTTGGACAAGTTCGATAACCGCTATTATCCGACCGTAATTACTGGAGTTATTACCCTTGGTTTCATTAATGCGATGCATGCGTTCCATGATGTTGTATTGCACTCATTGATCTACCAGTTATGTTGAATGATTTCTCTTTTAATATCAATTACTCACAAATACTTCATATATTTCAATCATACAAACAACTGCTCATTCAATGTGTGACGGGCGTATTATATACCGCTCGCGGTAACCTTGTTCACAATGTATCGATCTTGCAGAACCAAGAAGTAAAAAAAAGCACACACCCCTTAAAGTTGATTTGATGATGTTGTTATTTTGTCCTATGTCGATCAACGGTTTATTAAATCTACATCCTTTCTCTCTACAGCAAGACATGGCACTGCCAGATGTGCCTACAGACGAGCTACCAGAGATACAAAAAGAAAAAGAGAAAAGTAAGTATTGAAGTACTTAAACTGGTGTTCTTTTGTATGTGGATTTAATCTTTTTGTGTTTAATACATGGATAGAAGAATATATGTATATTTATTGGATTGTTAATAATGATTATGTTTGATGCTTTCAGAGAGAGCCCAGAGAGAGGAGCGACAAGCAGAAATGGTACCAGCATCTTGACGCTTTGTCCTTCAACTATACATTTACAAAACAACCTCTGTCGTTTTACTGCAAACGGACAAATATTAGCACATTCAGTTTAGGCAACCAAGCCAGAAGTTGCTGTCTGAAATAAATATAATGATGCACAGCATACCAGTCCGTTTTAAATAGTGATAAATCATTATGTTCAAAGACAGCAGTGCAATGTATACCAGAGTTGCTGGACTATTTGGTCCTGAGGTTAATGTATAAGTGCAGAGTATTTTTGACTGAGGTTAAGAAAAAACAATTGTTAAGTTTCCTTTTGCTTCCAAAACCAGACTTTTGCAATTTGGTCGGACTGGTATCTGTCAAAAGGTCAGGTGGTGACGCCACAGAAATTGAGGCTAAAAAATTAAAATGTTCTTTGGAAGAGTAGATCAATTATGCACACCCTGAATATTTTGGGTGTATATGTGTGGCCCCTGTGCTGCAAATACTGTATAGATCAAGGTATTTTTTCCCATGGGCAATAAATTCTATGTTAATTAGAAAAATTAATTACCGTAAATTTGAGGGTATAGTGGGCAGGTACGTTTTTGGGGTCAGATTTGAAAAAAAAATATTGGGGGGAAAAAATCCTGAAAATAACCGGTATCAAAACTGGAAAAGTAGCATCAAAGGTAGCTTGGTGTTTATAACGCCGATTAATTATCGATTGATTTATTGGAGTGAACAAGCCCATGAAGGTCTACCTCCGTACTGCTTGGAATGAGTGGATGATGGACGAATCCTGCAGAATTTGTTGAACAGTTATTGATATTTGATCATTTTAATAAATTCTTTTAATAAAGTTTTCAGAAAAAAAGTTTTATTTCAGAAGAAAAAATCTAGATTGGTACTTCAAATTAAAAAGGGTTATTGTCTTGAAAGCAATTGTCAGAGTTGAGATTTAAATGAATTTTAAATTATACAATTAGGTAATGCAATATCTATATGTTATTTGAAATATATAAATTTCCCCAGCAATCTTTGTTGACCACTTGACCAATGTTTTAATGAAAATGGATCTAAATGTCACATAACACAACGGTGATGAATGGGGAAAAAAATCAACTCATGCTCAATCGTTTTACTTTCATAATGCTCATAGCTTGTGATTATTGAGTTGTGAATCAACTGCTAATATTTTGTTATTATGATTAAACCTGTGTTAGTTTGCCTGAGTATTTGTTTTACATACTGTCATGTCCGACATAAGCTGTAATACAATTTCTTATAAACAGGATGTCAGATTAGACAGGTTTCAGTGTAATATGTTTTGTAAATAGTTTTAGTCTACCATTGTGCATGCTAACCGACATTTTTCTCCTGCAGGAACATACTGGTTGTTGGAATTTAAATCAGTTATGGGCAAGATTTGTTTTATAAAAAATATTTATCAGAAAACAAGGGTAATTAATTCAAAGGGGAGTAACTCTGTAAACAAAAAAATCAGTGCTGGACACATGATAATCATGTACAGGGACCACTGCAAAAGGGTCATTATAGGCAGTTTATCACTATATACAGGTGGTCCCTTAAACAGGCTTTATCAGACTTATTGTCCTTTATTATAAATGAAAAGTAAATTAAATATTAAGTAATTTAAATTGTCTTACCATTAAACATGTACAAGGATTGTCTCCCTGTGAAACAAAGATATCAGTACTCACCAATGCTGATACCCGGGAATACAAAATGTAGTACATGTACATATTATGGTAAAATTAGTCTGATAGAGGCAAATACCAATTTATGTGTATCTGCCTGCGGAAAGAAAATAAGGTCTTTGTATACACAATAATATTAACCATGCATCTTTATATATTTTATTTAAGAAAAAATAAAGTAAGCTATGTTAGTAATGTATTTATTCCATGTCTTTTACCAGTGTTTCTGATTTTCATTAGTATACATTGTATATTATTTTTACTAAATGAAATTAATGTAACTTCAAATAAATCCATCATTTACGTATCAAATTGTTTGTTCGGGTGTTTTTTTGGGGACATTTTATCAAAAGAAAAATTATTTGGGTTCTACTTGATACTCAACATGTTGACTCCAAAGAGTTTCTGGTCATAATGCAGGGAACTTGATCGGGGGAGATTGGATTAAAATGTTATCGCAACCAGCTTAGTATTGTCAAAAAGGAGGAGGATCTACCTAGACACACTTCATCTGTTATTCATGATAACAGTTGTAGGTTTCACATTTGAGGAGGATCTTTAAAAGATAGTCTTTAGAATTAAAAATGTACACACCATAGACAATAAGTATATGTGTTACATATTTCTCAAAGACCTACAGAAATGTTCATGGACCTCGGACTTGACAAAGAATTTAATTAAGAGTTAGATATTCAAATCAGGAAAACATTTGTAGTAATACAGAAAGAAAAATAATTAAACAAAACAACTTTTCCTCATTGCATTTATCATTGAATCATGGGTTGGTTGGTTGTACATGGTTGAATGTCCTATTAACAGCTAAGGTCAATTAACTCATTCACCCCTGAAATTTCATAATTAACTATATATTCCAACGAGTTTAAATGTGTCTTCAGGGTTGTCGGAGTTAAATTGGTATTTTTGACCTTTGTTCGCAGATCTGGACACAACATTGCATTACATTGAATTTATTTTTAATTTCAAGTAGATTTAACAATTATTGAAATCAATGGTGACGATGGAAAATAAAGTATAGCATTACATCTACCTATAGCTATACCTACCAATAAAAGTGTGGAAGAGAGCATGCATTAAAGGGCAAACAAACAATATCTTTAGCATGGCCCCATCAGATTAAATCAATTATCAAATTTGAGATGTTTTAGTTATATGAAATATAACAGTTGCTGCCATTGAACATGCCGGAAAAGAAAATATTCTCAAGCACGGCGAAAGACAAAATATACAACTCGACAATCTAATCTACCTACCCATAGCACCTGACCATACTGGATTAAGTATCACAGGCTTCATGCAAGCTTCTTCAAGTGTGCGTGCTAGTGTGTATGTGTGCTGGAGGCAGGGTTTGTTGGTGTATTTGTCTCCTTGTGGTATTGCGGATCAGATGCCCACTTTATAGTGCTATCTCACTGAAATACCATGTCGAAGGCCCCCAGCACAGCATTTCACCTGGTCACGGAACATAACTTCAGAAATACAAATTATTTCAATAAATTTACATTGGTTTTTATGGTGGTTGTCTGTTAATTTTAAGGTGTTCTTTATTGGGGTTAAAGTTTGAAATGCATCTTTAAACATTTTTGATGGTATCAACATGGTTCCATTAAAACATATTCCATGATGCATTGTCGCTTATCTTCGAGAAAATGTTTGAACAGAAGTCACAAAGAATAGTGGTCTCTATATACAGGTATAAAAAGACTGGTTTCTGCACGTGTCACAAAGGATAGTGGTCTCTATACACAGGTATAAAAGGCTGATTCTACAGGTGTAAAAGGATAGTGGTCTCTATACACAGGTATAAAAAGACTGGTCTCTACAGGTGTCACACAGGATAGTGGTCTCTATACACAGGTATGAAAAGACTGGTTTCTACAGATGTCACAAAGGATAGTGGCCTCTATACACAGGTATAAAAAGACTGGTTTCTACAGGTGTCTCAAAGGATAGTGGCCTCTATACACAGGTATAAAAGACCGTTCCTACAGGTGTCTCAAAGGATAGTGGTCTCTATACACAGATATAAAAAGACTGGTATCTACAGGTGTCAAAGGATAGTGGTCTCTATACAAAGTTATAAAAAGACTGGTATCTACAGGTGTCACAAAGGATAGTGGTCTCTATACACAGATATAAAAAGACTGGTATATACAAGTGTCAAAGGATAGTGGTCTCTATACACAGATATAGAAAGACTGGTATATACAAGTGTCAAAGGATAGTGGTCTCTATACACAGATATAGAAAGACTGGTATAAACAAGTGTCAAAGAATAGTGGACTTTATACACAGATATAAAAAGATTGGTTTTTACAGGTGTCACAAAGAGAAGGGGTCACTATACACTGATATACAAAGACTGGTCTCTACACGTGTCACTCAGGATTGGGTTCTATATACACAGGTATTAAATGACTTGTTTCTACAGGTGTCCTTAAGAATGGTGGTGTCTATACACAGGTATAAAAAGACTGGTCTCTAAATGTGTCACAAAGGATAGAGGTCTCTATGCACAGGTATAAAAAGACTGATCTCTACAGTTGTCACACACGACAGTGGTCTCTATACACAGGTATCACAAATGAGAGAGGTTTTCTATATACAGGTATAACAAGACTGGTCACAAAGGATGGTGGTCTCTATATACAGGTATAAAAAGACTGGTTTCTACAAGTGTCACAAGGACAATGGTATATAAACACAGGTATAAAAAGACTGGTCTCCACGGATATCACAAAGCAAAGTGGTCTCATACTCAGGTTAAAAAAAGGTTTCTACAGTTGTCACAAATGACAGTTGTCTCTATACACAGGTATGAAAAGACTGGTCTCTACATGTGTCACAAAGGTGTGTGGATTCTATACACAGGTATAAAAAAATACTGGTATCTACAGGTGTCATAAAGGATAGTTGTATCTATACACAGGTAAAAAAAGACTGGTATGCACATGTGTCATAAATGATAGTGGTCTCTATACATGGATATAACAGACTGGTTTATACAGGTGTCACAAAGGACATTGGACTCTATACACATATAAAAAGACTGGTCCCTATAGCTTGCACAAAGGACAGTGGTCTCTATACACAAGTATAAAAAGACTGGTTTCTACAGGTGTCACAAAGGACAGTGGTCTCTATACACGATTATAAAAAGACTTGTTTCTACAGGTGTCATAATGGACAGTGGTTTCTATACACAGGTATAATTAAAAGACTGGTCCCTATAGCTTTCACAAAGGACAGTTGTCTCTATACACAGGTATAAAAGACTGGTTTATACAAGTATCACAAATGATGGTGGTCTCTTTATATAGGTATCAAAGACAATTTACATGTGTATTTTCAAAGAGAGGGGCGGAATCGGGGTCCGGGTTACACTCTTAAGTTTATACACTCAACGTGATCACACAGGCACTTGCTTCGGTTACCAACATTAGACTATCACAAGCGCCAAATATACGTTGATAACTGGGGAGAAAAATGTCGACCGATGACACGGAACTAAAGGAAACAACCAATCTTGAACCAACTGATGAAGCTTCGGCAGATAAAAAGCCGACAGAAAACGATGAAGAACTAGAAAACAAAGAACAGCAACCACAGGCAGGTGCATCCAACACTGCCATTGAAGCAAAATCTAAAAGTAAGTTGAGCTGCAAATCTACTTAGTTGTTTCCTTTTTCATTTCCTTTTTTGATTGATGTTTTCTTATTCTAATATATGTGTTGTTTCCTGTTCCAGCTATACATTTTTGTTTCGTCTTGCCTACGGGCCAGATCGGCTTGTGTCGTGGCGCGTCGTCCGTCAACTCGGCCTACTTTCTATAAAACGCTATTTGCCCTTAGCTGCTCAGTGAATTTTACCAAATTTAGTCTTGACAGGGACAGTATATACGTCCCTGGTCTTGAGCATCCTGGGCCGAAGAGTTCTCAATTTTTTATAAACGGCGGATGTGGATGTGCCCCCTCCACTCCAGAGACAGAGGTGCGAGGCCAAATAGGTGTGTGGGGTGGGTGGGGGGGGGGGTAAATGTTTAGAAATCTTCTCCTTGGCTTCTAAACCAATGGAACAGAGACGTATATACTACGTATGGCTTTATACGTCTCTGAATGGAAGGAAGTATTTTTAACCAAAAACCAAACTTGTTCAAGAGCATCTTTGGGGGATGGGCATGTAGTTTTGTATAAACTGAAGCTGTGGCCTCCAGGAAGGGCGGGCCCGATATTGAAAAAAGGGTACATCTTTGAAATCTGTCTCTATTTGTATGAATTAGAAGGATTATCACCGTTTTTTCTGTATAATCTCTAGGCAAAAGACTAAATTTTGTATAAATTGAGGGTGTGCCTCGAGCTCCCACCCCCAATAATGTAAAATATATATAAGCTATTAAGGCCCCTGGGCCTCTTGTTTTAATATATACTTTCCCTTTTTACTTTAAATGTTTTATTTTATTTGATGTGTTGTTTTCTGTGTTGAGTCTTAGTGCTGTGACCTATTTCACTTGAGGTGTTGTTTCCTATTTTAGTTGATGTATTGTTGAAGCCAGCTGGTGATGCCCCGATCATGAAAAAGAAAAGATGGGCTGTAGAAAGAAACAAGAGAGTGAGCTGGATCAGTGAATTCATCAAGAAATATCTCAAACTGGATCAAAAGGAATCTATGGTAAGACATTTTGGTTTGTCATTTTTCAGTGATAATAACAAGTTTATAGGGGCAACAACCCCTTATTTACAGAGTTATTGCCCTTTACTAAAATGACTTGTCCGTGCATTACTTTGCTAGCATTTAAGGTAGGATCATGAAACTTAGTGTGTACATCAGTCATACTAAGGCAATGTGCACTGTGCCAAAGTTTTGGCCAACAACCTTATATTTACAGAGTTATTGCCCTTGGCTAAAATGTTGTGTCCGGAGCACAACTTTGCCTGCATTTAAGGTAGGATCATGAATCTTGGTGTGTACATCAGTCACACTTAAGTGATGTGCACTGTTCAGGGGTCTGCAGCCCTTAATAATAGAGTTATTGCCCTTTGCTAAAATATCAGACACCTATAATGTATGTATGTTAAAACATTATTTTGTTCCAAACTCCCCATTTCAACATCTTTACCAATATGTGTCAAAATTCTAACCTAAAGCAAAATTCACACACAGGAAAAGCTTCCAAATAAGTTTTGGGAGCATACATCATCAGTTCCACTGATACTCTTGTTAGTCCCCCACCAGGAACCAGGGGGGCTATAGTTTACTACTAGTCACTGGAACTTCATACTTGGTGTATGGGTTCACCTTGGTGAGGCGGTGTGTCATGTATCAAAAGTAGGTCACTCTGACCTACATTTTGACCTTTGACCTACATCAAAGAAAAAGTTTTTCCGGGCTCTATCTTCTACACTACTAGTCACTGAAACTTCATACTCAGGATATGGGTTCCCCTTGGTGAGGCGGTGTGTCATGTATTAAAAGTAGGTCACTCTGACCTACATTTTGACCTGCATCAAAGAAAAAGTTTGTCCGGGCTCTATCTCCTACACTACTAGTTACTGGAACTTCTTGCTTGGGGCATGGGTTCACTTGCATTGAAGAAGAAGCATACATAGTGTCACCAGATGCAATTTAATAGTAAAACGGTACCACTGACCAGTAAACATCCACCAGATTTGATTGCAATAGTAGCACTGACACTATTCCTTATTGAATACGGTGGGTCTGTCAAACATTCATATATAGAATTAGTTCCTGTACAAATTTATCATCTGTGCATTTCACATTCGGTGGGGGACTATAATTCGCCGAATTGTCTTGTTTTTATTATTTTGTGAAAAACTACCAACCACAAATCATCAATTGTTGATTTAATATATTTAAGTTGATCTTTTATAACTGTTCTGATGTTGTTCTCTTTTTCAGTTTCTTTATGTACAGCAGTCTTTTGCCCCTTCACCAGATACAGAGATTGGTACAGTGTTTGATGTAAGTATCCCCGCTAACTAAGATACACTTCTAAAAACACTGATGAATATTTCCAATTCTCACATTATATAAAACCAGTAAGGCCTACATTTATGTTTTGATTGCAAAAGGCTCTGTCATAGAATCAGCTTCTAATCATTATCTGCTATAAATAAGATTTTAAACAATTTCCAGGGTTATGGTTTAAACAGAAAAAACGCACGGTAGGGAAAGAGAAAATCGATACTTTTTATTCTGTATTTATTTGATAGATGCTAAAACTGTAGCTGAAAGTCTGATTGTTTATCCTTTTGATATATTATGTCATTAGCTGTAGAGCTAGGGTATGTGGCCTAAACTTGCCACTAAGTTACGTATACATGTTTCAACTTGCAGACATATGTCCAAAGATGCAGTGATGCATCATATATGTCAGTATATTTGGTGATATAAGATATAAGAATTTGTTAAGTGACAGACCTCATCCCATGTGGTGTGATCACAATTTTGTATTATGCTGGATTCTGTACTTTTGGCCAATGACCGAAAGTACTTAACTATTGATCGATTATAGAATAAGCTTTGTCTTCTGTAACTACTTATTTGACTGTCAGTAATGTCTCTCAGAGCTTTAAGGTAATAGGTTTGTGTCACAATTTCTCAGTAGAATTTCTTCAAATTTTGTAGTTATATTACTTTGAAGTAAAGAAAATTATCTGCCACCAAAAAATTACAGGTCGTCGGAATTTTAAGGATTTTAAATGGATATTTATGTAAAAAGGAGTGAATTTTAGAAAAAAATGAAAGACACATTTTTTGCAAAATAATGTCAATAAAAATGATACTGCCATAGATTAGTATTGCATTAATGTATAACAATTTAATAAATGCTGAAATTGTGTAAAATAAATTATCTATAAACGATCATTTTTTTTATAATAATACCATATACACATAGTAATTGCATGTAAGAGTTATCTTTCTTGAAAAACTTCACAGTAGTGAAATAGATAGCCGGTTTCCTGAAGTACAGAAAAATGGACACATGTGACTCATTGATAAAAAAAAAACTGAATTAATGCCGGTATAGCTTTGAAATACTTTAATGTTGAGAGAACACACTGTTCTGTCAATAATAAACATACAATATTCATCAGTTTAAGATTAAACAATGGACTCATTAGAATATGCGGAAATTGTGATCCTATCTCCCTACATTGGATTTTCAACTAGGGATGTACTTCCTTTTTCCGTTTATCAATACACTAATTCGACCTTAACATCGTATTGCAAGTGACCCATATAGTTGAAACTTAGAATTTTCAAGTTATAAGTGAAATTTAAAGTTAAAGTTAGTTTCCAATACAGGAGCCAATAGATCTCCTCTACATTGGACTCAAAAATGAAACAGTTGTTTAATATAAAGTTAAAGTTCATTGTTTATTACATTCGCCCTATAATTATAGTAAATCTTCATTCGGCAAAAGTTTATCTATTCTGTTCTTAAAAGTATTGATATTTGAAGCGGTTACAACGTCCTCCGAAAGATTGCTCCAGGTTTTGACTGGACGAAATGTGAAAAAGTTTCTCCTCAGAGATGTTGTTGACCGATGTTGGAATATTTTTTGGGCTGTGTATGATATACCATGAAAAGTGGCAAGACTTTGAAACTTAAAAAAAAAAAATCAATCTTTTTTTCAGTGTTTTGGAAGCGATGGAAAACTAGTGGTACACTACTGCAGGACCCAAGCTTGGGGATGATAGTCTGCATGACACGAAGAGTAGGCTGAAATTTCAACAAGTAATAAAAGTGACGTCACAGTAGAAGGTTGATCATGAATAACCACAGATTGCTGTGAAATAAGTATAAAGCATGTCATCAAGTGTGTTTTATATACATGTACCTGCATGGTGATTTTTGCATAAGCATTTTCTATTATTTGATTACTTGCATTGGAAAAAAAATGCATTTAAAAAACGCTTATGTTTTAAAAGCAGTTGTCATGGAGAAATGGAGATTAATTGGTTTATTCAAATTTTCCCACCCTGTCAATAAAATGTATAATTTGCGTTCTCTGCTGTAGAAAGCTGTGTCATATGACGTCATATTTTAAAAGTTCCTTTACACCATCTTATTGGTCGTTTTTCTTATGATGTCACACCTGTCATACCAAGGGTAGGTGACTCTTGACAGAAATCCTACCTTCATGGGTCAACAGTAATTCTAGCCTCGTGGGAAATCTTGAGCAGGTCAAAAGGGACACAATTTTGTGAATGGCAGGAAAATTAGTGTTGAACTTTGGAAAAATGTTCAATTTAATGTTTGAGAGAAAAAGGAAAACAGTGATAGTATAATTATTGAATTTTACAATTTTTGTCAAATCCTCTACAAACTACCATAAATTGGGATGTTTTTACTGCGGTTATATTTTTGCATATATTCTCGCAAGATTCAAATTTGCAATTATTTGATGATAATAATAATATACAACATTTGATACAGCGCCCTATCTAGCTAGAATAAGCCACTCTAAGGCACAATTTATACAATCAATACAGTTAGCATATATATACATTAATCAATACAATTTTTGAGGAATTCGCTGGAGCGAACATGTACAAATTTACCGACTAAGAAAATAACCCTCAATTATTCTGAACGTTTTGTTTTTTAAAGTACCAGATTACCTGAATTGTGTTAACAAAAGCTGACAAGGTCTTATCAGTAATCTAAAAGGTCCTATTGTTGTAGTGTAGGGTGGATAGCTTAGTGTTAATCTGTATAAATCAGCGAATTCTGGTCACTTAAGAAGATTCTTTAAGAAGGGAGGGGGTGGGGGGGGGAGGGGTAAGAAAATCACTGAGTCAGCACTTAAATCTACTTTTACTCCTAAGTGGACCCCTCTACTCATTTTGAATTGCATACAAGTGCAATTCTCTCAAATCTTAAATTGCGATATATTTTTTATGGTAGTCAAGTTTTTGCGCAAAATCCCAATTTGCAAAAAGCGAGACCAGTAAAGATAAAACTACAACTATTTTCGAGAAATTCACAGAAATCAATCTACAAAAAAGATATCCCAATTTACAGTATTTGATTATTTTTAGCTGAATGACATGTAGATGTATATTGTACTGTGATATTATTTAAGAGAGTATGTGTTTTTGTTTGTTATTTAGGGTTGAAAGAAGATGATTGTGTTGTAATATTAGAGTCTGTTCTGTGAAAATTTCGTTTTTGAGTTGGTTTGCTTTAAGGCCAGCAGTATTTCTTGTAAAACTGAGCAGTATATTGAATTTCAACTGACTCTGAATTGTCGAATATCTATTTGATTTTCATAAAAACTTTTTTTCGCGATAGTGGTTTTAACTCATTCACCCCTGAAAATTTGTTTTCGCAATAGTGGCTTTAACTCATTTAACCCTGAAATTTCATAATGAGCTATTCCAGCCTTTGAATTGGAAGGGTTCAAATGTGTCTTCAGGGGTGAATGAGTTAAGGATGTTTTTTATGCATGGAATAAAAGTTGCAAAATGAGCAAGTTATAAATATAGACACGATGTTTTTTTATGCATGGAATAAAAGTTGCAGAATGAACAAGTTATAAATATAGACACGACTAAATGTTTATCTGTGTAAATATACATATTCAGATAGAGGCTTATATGGGGGTTCATATTGGATATGTGAGTAGGATAAGCAAATTACCCTATTATTATGTCAGAAGTGAGTTATTAATATTCATATTGATAACAAACATCTGTTGCAAATTACCTGGTCATAACATACAATTTAAATAATTTTTGATAAAAAAATGTATTTTGATCTATATCTATGGAAATCTGGGTTGCAAGCACAGCTGAATGCCAAGGACATTTTCTTGCTCAAAATAACAAATAGTGTATCATATGTATAGGTGTCGGGAGATGGATTTTCTTGCCCAAAATTCTACAGCTAGTGGCAGAATGTTCGTATCCACCACATAATGGGCTTTATCTCCAATCTTTTGTCTTAATATTAATTTATTAAAACTATTCAAAATGTTCAAAAGATGAGGTTTTTATGCCAGCATCATATGAAGTGACTCTTTTTTTCTCTCCCATTAGACAGTGATATCTACACTTCATGTCAGGGGAAGATATCTCTGTCTTACCCTAGGGTAAAAAAAAAAAAGGAATTCCCCTGTCATAACATAAGTATCACTTCAAGTAAACAATGTTATGACGTCACGTCAACAATAGCAGATCACCTAAGATAACTAGGATTTGCTTGAAATTATGGAATCTAATGAAATCAACGTTTGTAACCCATGAAATCACCACTTGTATTTGATGTGGGGAAAAAAAAAATAATGCTTGGGAGAAAAATAATCAATCACTACTTCGGTAGGATGATGATAGAGAAATTCTAAACCTCAGGATAAGATTTTTTTAACTTCAGCACTTGTCACAGCCTCATGCTGAACCTCAGAACTCTTTCCCTGGGGTTGAAATTTCTCTATCACGTCATCACACTAGAGTGATACATTCTATTAATTGATCCTCTGGGGAATATTTTTTGAGTTAAGCACAGGGACCTGAGATTTTGTGACAGCTATATTAGAATATGGTGTACCATTACTGGGGTGGCATTTTTACAGAAAATTGATCTTAACTTCTGAAACATGTAAAAGAAAATTCTGAACACCTCAGTTTAGGTCCTAATATAGCTGTATAGCAGAATATATATCAGGTCCCTGTGCCTGAGGGTACTAATGTGTCATTGGAATACCCAACTCTATATTTTCCTGGTGATGCTTCAGGTTTGTGAGAAATATCGTCTTTTATTCTTAATTTTTGACTGAGCATTACTACTTCAGACAGCAACAAGTATTACTTAACCTATTACAATAACTCGTTTTCGATAAAAAATAATTGTTCAGAAACTGAAAGATACATCCCATGAAGTTTGTATTTTATACCTTTGTTCAATTACAACAAACATGTTCTGCAGGAAAGGGTCATGTGATTGACATGTATTAAATGCCATGTGCATGATCATTTTCGCATCAGTTTGTTGTGAAATGTATAGGTCATTGGTTTTCCAATGAAGAAATATATTTGCTGATGTGCCACTTACGTTTCATGTTAAAAGAATAGGATAGTCCTTTAGGTATCACACACACCAATTAGGAGGTTGTCAGAATGGTATTCTATTTATATCAATGTGTGTTGGCTGTATGTGAGAGGCAAATGTGAAGACGAATCGTTGTATGGATGAAAGTTCATAAAGTCTGAGAGAGGGAATATTGATTGAAATAACTGAGTTATGACAGTAAAAATCTGATAATTTTATGCAATAAAGAAAAAATAAATGGTCAAAATACATTTCAACTGTTCTATTATTTATTTTTTCTGCCCTCATCAAAATAACTGTGTAGCATTTATTATGCCCCAATATGAAGTTGTGTGGGGAAAATAGTGTTACTCTTTCCCATACATATGTCTGGCCATTAAAGGTTTTGTAAGTTAACATGCTTATGCCCCTTTATAAGCATCCTCGATACCCCAGGGATTTCGCTCTATGCACCCCATGACAAAATTTTAAGCTTGTTGATGACACAAGAATAAAAGTTTAATCCTTTGATGTACATGAAAAGAAGATTTTGGTCACATGAAGGTAAAATTGGCTGGCTTTGAAGTCTGATGTTGCTCCTCTGTATCCTTCAAAGGAAGGTATCAGCCTAGTGATTGGTCAGGTTTTTATTACCCAAGACCAATCAAATAGCTAGCAGTGAGCCTTAAGCTTTGCAACGACATATATGATATTCCAAGGTGCAGAGAGCTGAGTGAGGGTAGGGTATCGAGGATGCTGTAGAACATGTTATCCGACATTTTGGTGACCTTGACCTCTGTGACCTTTGTAAAGTTTTTCGAATTTATCGTAGGTCAGTGATGGACAAAATACTGCAGCTAGTGTCAATCTAATTCGCCTGCTAATGCTCTATAACGTAGCCAGTTATGACTTTTGGTAACTTTGAACTTTGACCTTGACCTCTGTGACCTTGCTTTAGTTGGCGTAACGGGCCATTCTTGTCTTACAGACAAGTTTCTAGCAGTCCATTTATAATTTTTTAAACTTTGATTATTAATGTATTCAGTTTCCAGAATCTGGTTCTTACTTATGCAGCTTCAACTTAAAGTATGTAAAACTCAATCTTAATTATCTATACATTGAATTAAGAATTTTTTCAAACAATGTGATAAATATGGGGAGTTGGAGATCCAATGTACATGCAAAGAGTTCAGCCAAGTGCTGAGTTACCCAGCAGATGAATTGCACAAGGAATACCACGAGTCTGGCAGTAGTAGTAGAGTTATCCATAATCAAAATTGCATTAACGAGTTTCAGTAGCGGAACTGGACTAGGTCGATCGTCAGCCACAAGGTAGCTCATTTGGGAGAGTGTCCATCAAGAGTTTGAAGGGTCCAAGGTTCGAACCCCGGTCTGGCCATGCATTTTTCCTCTCCTGTTACAGAAGTGTTGTCATTATCTAATGTGTCGAAACTAGTTCACGTAATTTCGATTAAACCGGTAAACCCAGTACCATGTTGTCATGGTCATCTTTACCTAAAGATTGATGATGTGATGAAGTTTGAGAATGTACACTGATTATTTTTGTTCAGTTTTACTGCCGAATACAGGCTGTTTCCCCTAGCTAAAAACTGCCTTATTTTCCCAAAATAACCAAAAACTGAGGATTTTCTCCTAAATTTCAATACAAATAAGGCTATATTTTCCCAATTCTTGAAGGAACAAGCTGTTGTAAAATTAAGGTAACAAAAACCATGGTAAAGTGCATTTGTATTCTTTATAATTAGTTGTAACTATATTTTATATTTGAAATGTACACCCTTGACAGTAAAATAATAATTTACAAAAGAAAGTTGTCATTTAGTAATAAATAACTGTACACAGATCAATCATGATAAGTTTTAATGTACATTTGGCAAAATATACATGACATTGTGTATAAAATATAAATAAACTGTTATCACAAAAATTTTGGACGGATCACCATTAACTGCAACCAAAAAGGTTGCAGAATAAAAGAAAAAGGCAGACGATTTTTGCCAACTTGCAAACTACCTTTGGGTGGAAGAACATTCTACCTTGGAACATCATATACCAAATTATTTGCCAACATTTTTAAACTTGTCCATCATTTTTCATGTAGGGACATGCACTTCATTATTTGGGTTGTTTTTTAAATATCCATATTGCTATTAGTTGTTGCAAACTTTGGCCTGAGAAACTATACAAATTTTTGTTTGGCCTAATATGTCAAGTTAAGGCAACATATTTTCCCTAATTCTTTCATTACTCTACATAAATCTTGGTGATTTTTCCATTCAATTGACTTCTTGTTGGTGAAAATTGAAACAAGTAATATATAATGATAATATACAAAATGTACATTGAGACTAATGGTAACAAAAAATATGTGATTTTGCAGCATATGTATTTGTTAACGAAAAACATGGTCCTATCGGGTCATCTTCTTAACTAAACTCCGAGAAATTGTCTATGAGCAGAAAGTTTCAAAGTAGTCACATAATGTTACGTACATAAAAGTCATTTTAAAATGTCAAAAGTCATTTTGAAAGCTGAAGTCCATATATATATAATATGTAGTAGTTTTGTTCTTTCATTTTATATTTATCTTAATATGTTTGGATAATGCTGAGCTATAAGTAGCAAACTCAACATACGGTCCATCAGAAGGGATTCCACTTCTGTCATAATTGTTGCTCACAAATTTAAGTAACAGTTTGGGCAGTAAGTGTGTATGGCATTTCAAAAGCCAAGACTTGTCAAGAGTGTTATTTGTGACTGATTAAAATTGAGTCTGACAATATAAATATATTCTCCCCTGTGATGTCAACGGATCTCGATTTGTGCTTCCTTCCTTGAGTTTTAAAGGCTAGCTTCTGTAAGTTTCATTTGTGTCAAGCACTTGAGATTGCTAGGTGTTCGATTCTAGACAAGGTACTGGGGAAATTTCCAGACAAGGATAGCGCCATCCTCACTGACACTAACGATGTGGGTGTTTCCAGGTGAAACCTTGATCTTCGTGATGTTTCCGCTGTGTCCAATCCCCACCGATATTATTTCCGCTCTTTTGTAATCCCATAACTGTGAAAATAAAATAAAACTTTATGTAAAATCATGCACAAACAGCGATGTTTCTGTACAAAAATTGTATAAATGATAAAAGCATGAATATGTGAGAGAATTTGTCATTTGTCGTCACTATTCCGTCTTTGCGTATTGCAGAGTTATCTTCTCTTTTGAGCAGGTATTGATTGTTACGTCATTGGTTTGTGTGAAAAAATTACGTCGTTTTCTCAAAAATTGATGACGTTACTCTCACTAACAAATGATGTAACAATCAATACCTTCTCACAAGTGCAGATAACTCTGCAATACGAAAAGACGGAATATGACAATCTGAATTCAAAATGAGGTAACGTGATTTTTCGTTTTATGAGCCATTTCAGACTGAAATCTTTCAGTTATTAGAATGAATAATTCCAAGATAAGAAAACCTTGTGATATCATAGAAAATTAAAGCATTTTTTTTTTTTTTTTAATTTGAGTGAAAAGTGCTCAAATAAGACCATACTGCTTAAATAAGTTCATTAAGTATGTGTACTTGAAATATTTGTGTCAAATTGCTGGACTTTGTTCAAACACAAAAATGAAATGGATGTTGACATACCTTGAGAATTTTGTCGTCCCCTCCAGTAGCGACGACATTGCCGTCTGCTGTAATATCCATAGCATTGATGGAGCCACTCGCTGATCCGTCAAGTTCACGAACCTGTGAACCTGACGAGACGTCCCAGTAGACTAACTTCCTGTCCGTACCGCTAGTCATGATCTGGTTTTCCTCTTTGTTAAAGCACACGCACTTAAACAATGTGTTTGCAAACACAATCTGGGAACGGCGCTTCTTTCTGTAACATATTTAAAGTACATAACCTTGAAATCCATTTTATAGTTTGACATGACATGATTTTATAATTTAGATTCATGCGATATTGACATTCCAGACTTTAATTGTGTTATCAAATTAAAAGCGAATGACAATTGTTTTTTGTTGCGTGTATTATAATGCCTCACACATTACTTTAGTACGTCTCTTTAGAAATCTTTTGTTGAGGTGAATATGTGGTTATATAGACCTGAGAAAGTTTCAGTGACCGAGCCGAAAATTGAGGCCAATATCACATTTCAGGTCCAAAATTACATATTCACCAAAAACAGTCTTTAAATTGTGGTATTAGATAAGAAAATATTATGCTTTTGTCATCACACAAGACAAAATGCAAGCAAATTGTCAAGAGAAAAATGTACAGCATTTTGGCAGACAGCATTGTGACATTACAAACTGACATCACAAAGTGAATGTTGACCTGATGTTTCTAAAATTAGTAATACTGAGTCAATATAACAAATAATTGACCTCCACATGATTATGATTCAACAAGTAAGGACGTAGGGGGGGAATTATATCACCATATATACAGATTTATTATTTTTTCATATTATTCCCGAGGGGGGAATTATATCACCTTATATACAGATTTATTATTTTTTCGTATTATTCCCGACAAGTGATTGGCCAGGAATGCATCACGTGTCGACCGATAAAAAAAACGATATTGACTTGGAGCGCGTGATTTTTTGTTGAAGGACTGGGTGTTTCTAAAAATAGAATTATGATGTGTCTCCAAACAATACATCGTCACACTTCCGAAGCTTTTTTTTTTTTTTTTTTCTCATATTGCTTACATTACTGTTTTGTAAAATAATAAAACAATTGTAGCCTTTTTACTTCAGTCAATACCTGGATTTATCAACCCGAGAAAAGATATATTAACCTCGGACTGCGTCCTTGGTCAATAATAAAGACTTGCCAACCACTGCCACCAAAAATAACCTAAGGTAGAAACTCTGACACAGGAATTTCCCTATTCTAAAGAAAATTCACACTAAACATTGTACGATGACACTAATCTTAAACGTGATCTAGTATTATAACCCCAGTTTTCATTTTCACCTTGGCCCGTATTCATAAAACCCGTTTTCATGCTCAAGCATGGATTTTGTGCTCAAGCCTTATTTCTTGTTCCGTTCTTAATTTCATGATAAAATCTTATTTTGGCAATGATTTGGGAAACATTAGAAGAGACATTTAAAACCGAATACTGTTTTCAATGTCTACGCGACTCTAATTTGATCCTTTGACATGATTTAAGTTAGTTACAAGATGGTTTGAGCACAAAATCCATGCTTGAGCATGAGCATGGTATCATGAACACAGGCTCTGACTTTTACATATCTGTGAATGCCATATTCTGAACACCAGTCTTTTAATCATTTACTGTGGTTAAATCAAATTTGAGACTTAGTCAGTCCAAGGAATCCCCTTTTCTGAGGATTATGTTTTATACGGATTTTGTGTTGCTATGATAACAGTATGAAATACATAATAATAACATATCCGGGTTCAAGTAAAATGTCTTCCACAACTCACTCTAGGTCCCAGATGATGGTTGTTCCATCATGGCTGGATGACACACAGCTTTTGCCATTCTTGCTAATCCTGATGTCGGAGACCGATCCTTTGTGCTCCATCATGTTGTGCTCCAAACTGGTTGTGCAGAAGTCATGGCTGATTGACCATACGCGGACTTGTCCCTCGCCGCCTCCACTGAGTATGCAGTGACCATCCGGTGTACACGTCAGAGCTGTCACGCCGTTGCTGTGGGCGTCATGTATCGTAAACATAAGTTTCAGGGCGGCGCCACCCTTTCCTTTCACAAAACCATAACCTCGGATCTTTCCGTCATTCCATGCTGGAATAAAAAATCTAGAAATCAGGTAGTTGCCCAATCAGTTTTTATGCTCTCCCATATGAATAAGGTTTAGCATAATATTTCCGGGGGGTGATGTTCTTTTCGTTGGTAAATAACGTGATCGCAAAAATATGATCTGGTGAATAATATGACAAGGGTAAAAATGACGATACATACACATTAAGAGTAATGATGTTTGAAAATAAGATTATATCACATATGAAATAATTGTGTTGATGATTTTGTTTAACAAAATACACTATCTTGTCGTTGCTACATACGTCATAAAGCCTATTAATTTGATTATTTGACACTTCAATAGTTTATATGCTGAGTGTCCTGTTTCTTTGCTTAAACACTGTGAACATTAAGTTCCTTCACATATATCTAAATCGTGAAATTATAATTGGTGTAAATTTAATTTTCCAATTTTTTGGTCAAAATGGCGAAAATTTAAGCCTGCATAAATAACCCATTATACACCCGAAATAAACTTGTTTTAATTGTATAACAGGAAAGAGAATAGTGTGCTTCCACCGGGGATCGAACCCATGATCCAAGTTTTTCTAGTCGGATGCTCTACCACTGAGCTAAAGGCAAATTCCCTCCAGAGCAAAGCTAGAAGGCGACTGTAATCCTATTTACAATTAAAATCTGCCACCATTAGATCCCTTAATTTTCCTCGATTTTCAACCTTATTTTACTACTTTATGCCATGACATAATTCTGGGATGCAGAGTGCAAAAGTGAGTGTAACCCCTGGAGTCGAGTGTCGAAGATGGGATTTCACTTACCAGTGTAGATCTTGCTGCCATCTTCTGTCAGCGCCACAGAGGTACAAGTTATATTAGCCACCGTCTGCCTCAGGAGTTCCTGGCCGGTCTTCAGCAGCCAGAATCGGATCTGTCCCAACTGGGACGTCACAAACAGTTCATTTGATCTTCTGTAAAAAAAAAGAAAAAAAAAGGAATATTACGAGCAAGCCTGATAGTGGCCAAACAAAAAAAAAAAGACTTTTGTTACCTGTAAATATTAGAGTGGGTAGGTAGGTAATAATTTTTATTTTTTAGAACGATTTTGCTTTTTAACAGTGCTTCCCTGAAAAAAGGGCAAAAATAAGTTTAAGGTATGCACAAACGATATGTTAGGTAGGGTAGGCAGAAACAAACATTGTTTTTGGTATGATATGAAAGTTTGGCAATGCACCTTTCCTTTAAAAAAAAATTGTTATAAAATTTAATCTAGAAGTACGCGGAGATGAGCTGGGAAATTGTGGTACAGCACCCTCCATGGTTCAAGGTCAGCCAAGGGTCAGATGTTTCAAGACATTGACCACCACATGATACAAGACAGAGTATTTTCTCAAATAGGTATTATTAGCTCACCTGGTCCGAAGGACCATGGTAAGCTTATGCCATACCCCGTTGTCCGTCCGTCTGTCAACTTTTCCCTTAAAACACTACTAGTCCTGAAAGGCCAAGTAGATTTGTATAAATGGTGGGTGTGGGCCCCCTGGGGGCAGAGGGGCGGGGCCCAATAGGGGAAATAGAGGTAAAACCTTTAAAATCCTTCTTCTACCGTAGGGATTAAGGGATTTTATCCTAATTTAGTCTGGAGCATCCTTGGGCCAAGGGGACTCAATTTTGTATAAATGGTGGGTGTGGCGCTCCTTGGGGCAGATAGGTGGGGCCAAATAGGGGAAATAGGTAAAACCTTCAAAATCCTTCTCCTATCGTAGGGATTAAGGGATTTTATCCTAATTTAGTCTGGACCATCCTTGGGCCAAGGGGACTCAATTTTGTATAAATGGTGGGTGTGGCGCTCCTTGGGGCAGATAGGGGGGGCCAAATAGGGGAAATAGGTAAAACCTTCAAAATCCTTCTCCTATCGTAGGGATTAAGGGATTTTATCCTGATTTAGTCTGGACCATCCTTGGGCCAAGGGGACTCAGTTTTGTATAAACCGTGGGTTTGGCCCTCTTTAAAATCCTTCTTCTTCTGTAGGAATGACAGGATTTATTCCATATTAAGTCTAAATCATCCTTGGGCGAAGGGGTACCAATTTTGTATAAACCATGGGTCTGGCCGCCCAGGGACCTGAGGGGCGGGGCCCAATAGGGGAAACATAGCAAATTATTCTTTAAAATCCTTCTTCTTCTGTAGGAATGAAAATATTTGGTCCATATTTGGTGTGAAGCATCGTTGGGTAAAGGGGAACCAATTTTGTATTAATGGTGGGTGTGCCCC